ATGAAAAATAAAAAGAAAAAATGATTCTTTATTTATTTGGTTGTGGGTTTTTGTTTGTTAGTAATTCTGGATATTTATTATCTATTTTATTTGGTTCGAGTTAATAATCAGGATATTTCAAGTAAATATAGGGGCTAGAAAAAAAATATATTTCATTCTGAACAATGATTAATTACAACATTTCATATATATACATCCCTTTCGAAAAATATTCACCCAAAAAGAAATAATAAAAATAAAAGCGAAACTACCATGCAATTATTAGAAGAGGAAGTAAAGAAGTACACAAACAGATTTTTTTTTTTTTTTATTTTTTTTTATTTTTCTGTCCTATCAATGAGTGAGTAGCTATTTGATGGTGTATGGGGAAATTATCAGAAGATAGAAAATTGTGATAACAAAAAAAATGTGATGATTGCAATTGCAGACTTTGAGAATAAAGAATAAAGGTGTGTGTGGTGTGACCAACCCTCGTGTATGTATATAATAAGAGGAATAGATAAATAAAAGTTTAAAATTTTACCTAAGAAAAAAATAGAAAAGAAAAAGAACAGAACAGTGCAGAGTAAAGTAGGTGATCGTGTTTTTATATTAATTTATTTTATTTTAAGGAAAAAATAAGAACTGGTGATCGTGTTTTTATATTAATTTATTTTATTTTAACGAAAAAATAAGAACTGGGCATATTGGAGAGTAAAATACTATGATATATTTTTTTATTAATTTATTTTATTCCATACTAGGTACAACTAGTTTTTCTTAATTTTGTCATTTGTTCATGAACAAAAATTGAATATTTTATAATTTTATTTATAATGTTTTTAAAGTATGAAATTTTAGTTTAAAATTATGTATATTTTAAAAATTATGATGGCTTGTCAGGTTTACTATTTTGGAGTCTAAGCCAATACGATGAGGTTTGTAATTCAAGTGATATCTCCACCCTTATACTGATTGAATGTTTGATTTTAAATATACTAAAATTGCCTAGAATATGGACAAATGTGACAGACAATTTCTAATATTGACTCGTGTAGGGCTGATAATTAATTACAATATTTTGACATACCATTTAATTTTAGATAAATGTGAATATTATTTCTAAAAGTTATTCACTGTGTACTGACTAATACAATGTTTGATTTTGTATTTTTTTTTTTATTTATTTCTAGCATTCCTGTTAATTAAGACTGAATAAGCATACTCGAGCTGACCTATTAAGGCTTGCTTAATTAGTAAAAAATATACAAATATTACTCGAAATCGACTTGATATTGCTCGAGTTTGGCAAGAAGTTTCAACAAAAAAAAATTCTACTCCTAAGATTTTTTCTCGAGTCTTGTTCAAGTTAATCTATTTCGAATTTTGCTCAAGTTAGGGGTATTCAGATAAATAACATTTTATATATACTCAAACTTATAACAAACAAGTCGAGTTCGAGGAAGCTCGACTTATGTGCAATCCAAATTGAGTGCTCGCGAGTTGCTCAATTAATTCATTTGTTGTCTTAGTTTCGGACTGAGCCTGATGTCTAACCAATTCTTCAAAATTAATTATAAATAAAAAAATACCAAAAAAAAAAAAACATTTTAAAAAATATTGAATAACTGAAAATATAGAAAAAGAACACTAGGAAAAGGAAAAGAACCTTGAACGATTAAAAATATATAAAACCTCCAAAACGTTCTAAAGATGGAGAAAAACTAGATATATACCGTTAGAAAATTTTAAAAGTAGTAGGAAAACTGAACACTTAAAATAAAAAGTAAAAATAAAAATCCCCCTTTATATTTATAATTTACGAATGCGTTGAGCCTACGTTATTTCTGGTGCTTCCGGATTCTATTTGGCGAAGAATCATGCTTCGTAATTAAGTTTGGACAAGTAATATTTATATATTAATAATTAATAATCTAGGTTCGGACATTCCATAAATATTATTTAGCTAACTTAGGTACTTTAATATCACTTGTACTAATATAACCCTTTAATTCTTTATAATTTTACATAGTGAGACACTGAGTGACTAATATATCCCTAACTTTTAATTTGTTTCATTCAATTAGCTATTGAATTGTAAATGTAGTTTAAAAGTTGATAACTTTTATATTTCTTATCGGTTTTGCATATATAATATATCACTCATCTTTTGATGATTTTCGATTTGACATTCATATTGTATATATGAAATAAATAAATTATATTTATCTTTATAATAATAAATAATAATAATAATAATTTATAAAATTCATTAGAAAAATAAAATTATATATTTTTATACTAAATATATAATAATATATATATTTATAAAAAGTATTTAAATTTTCAACTATTTTTTCTCATTAATTTTAGATTTTAAGGAAAAAATTAGCAAGCACCCGTGTAATACACGGACGTTGTACTAATAAAAACATTAAATACCAACTATAATTTTTTTGTATATTATTTTTAAAATACAACATATTCAATATAAAAATACAACATATTCAACATATTCAACTGTCTTTTCCTTTTTTTGGTGCAAATATTTACAACTGTTTAAACGTTAGACCTGCCTAACAACAACCCAATATTAATTAATGCTGGTATTATAAGGACTCATTACAAATCTATATATTATATATATAATTACTGGCTCATGAGCATTTGATAAAACTCTTTTTGTTTTCCCGTTGTTTTCCGTTACTTTTGCATTAATCACAATTATATTTCTTACTTATTTTATTATATAATTGCTACTATTAACTAATATGAAGACACATTAAATGTCATTCTATTTTAATCTTTGTTAAACTATATATTTAAGATTGTTATTTTTTTCACCTCATTAAGCAAGTTTCTTTTATTACATTTAATTAATTATCTTTTATGGCATAACCAAACTTTTTCATGATCTGTACACAAATATTATAATAATAATTTAAATATTTTTTATCCAATTAATTATCATAATCGACTAACACTGTATAAATTTAAAGATTAATATGTACGTTAAATAGTTTATATTTATATCGTCATTATAGTAATAATAAAATTTATAAATATGATATGCTTATTATCCAATTTATGATTTTTAAATTTTACATAAAACATATATATATATATATGATGTATAATATATAAAATTTTATTTACATTTGTGCATGTGCACAGGATAGAGTACTAGTACTAATCTTATTGTGTTGCTTAATTACCAAATTAAATGATCCAACTAATTATATGATTGGGTTAATTTGTGATTGCATTTTGTTTCATTTTAAGTTTGGAACTGACATAGACACTTTCTGTCTTTTCTTTTGCTCTTGTTATAGAACACCCAAATCCTAGAAAGGGCCTTGAAGTGATATATCAATAGGAATATTTTATTATTTATTAAAAGGAGGACATAATAATATGATAATACTATATGTTATTTAACAAGAAATTAATGGAATATATATACTGAATGAATTGTAAAGTCAAAAAGCTTAAAGGGCTTAAAGGCAAAGTGCAATATATGAAAGAGTTGATTTTATCACTCCCATATTATGCCCACTTATTTGTAGCCCCACTGATCTCTATTATTGTTGAATTATCTGATTTGACTATCAATTTTACACATGATTCATGGAATATAGGTATAATATGCATGTTACATGTCAAATTGGAGACAAAAAGCACTTGTAATTACTAATTAGCATTGTATATTTGTGATCATTCATGCTCACCAAGTAATTATTTGGCTGCCTATTATTTTTCTGCATTGTTCTAAAAATCGTCCTAGGCGGTGCCCGGGCGCCTCCGATTTGCACAAATCGGTAAAAAAAAATCATCAGACGGCTAGGTGACGCCTAGACGCTCCTAGGCGGACTTGGCGAGCTCGGCGACCAGGCGGTTAGGTGGTGCCTAGGCGGGCATGGGCGGTGCCTAGGCGCTCCTAGGCGAGCTCGGCGGTAATTTTTCTTTTTCTTTTTTTTTTCCTAGTTACATTATTTCGTTCTCATGTTTTCTTTAAAATATACTAATTTTATTATTTAAACTCAGGTGTGTCGATTTATTATAAGTTGAAATAATTTTAATTTATAAGTAGTTAAAATAAATAAAAAAATAAGGCATTTAATTTTGATTTATAGGCCTCTTATTGGCGCGCTAGGCGTTGGTCGAGCGTCTAGCGGGCGTCTAGCGACTTTTAAAATACTATTTTTTTGGTCTTGTCGGGAATAATTAAAAGTTGATTAATTGATTGAATTGATTGATTATGATTACAGATAATGAGATATATAGTATAAATTTTTTAACAGTTTTGCAAGATTATTTTAGCCCCGTCAAATAGAATTAAACTTGTCAGAGAAAGTAACATATTATCCGTAGCCCTAATTCTTCTCTTATCATTGTCTTTCACAAAACATTTGGGCTAATATTCAACCCATGAATGTACAATATAGTTCATCACATGTTCTACATTTATAAAATGGGCCATTTATGTATGCCTATCGACTATTGGGCCTATTCAATCTTGTTCTCGGGCCAATTTAGTTGCTACTATCAACCTTTGTAAAAGGGGCTTTTTCGGAATTTGAATGGACCTGCTTTTCTTCGTATTTCCCCAATATCTAACCATACCTGAGTGAATTATCAATACAAAAGGAAAATAATAGTGATTGTGGGTGTGATTTTTTATTTTTTATTTTTTATTTTTTTTAAATATGAAAACTGCATTCAAGCAACTTAAGTGTCGGATACATTATAGAAGGAAAAGGAAAACATAACAACAAGTGAATTCTTCAAACATTGAGAAGAGTGTGATACAATCGCCCACTTAACAATATAACAACACGTATCAGTCACAATCCAGAAATTATAAAAGATTTCGTGATATCAGCAAACAACTCAAAGAGAAGGTTCAATGCCTCCGAATAAATGATACCTCCTACAACACTTAAAAAGGAGTTTGTCATACGATTTTGCTATGAAGCCAACTGTTGGCTTCATAGTAAAATCGGTTTGTCATATAGTTGTTTGTCCTATTTTTTTTTTTTTTTTTTTTTTTTTT